AACTACAATTAGCTTAATTTTCTTAACTGTTTGTAGAACACACTTCATTAAAAGTCGACACAAACAAAATGAAACTCACCAAAACCATCTCGGTTAGCCGATATTCCAATAATCCTATGGTTTGGTTAAAATGAATCCTTAATCACTGGGCTAATTATCCTAATGCTAGTTTCTGGCTGCCTCCCTCTGCCGATTGGTCTCTTAACAAGGTTAACGAGCGTTGTTCCTCGGATGCAGACGTTCGCTAATGTTACCAAAATTAAACATAAAACAACCCAAAAGTAATATTGTTTTGGCCATTCAAATCTAAGCCTCATAATTGACATGTTCAAATCCCTAGCAAGACAAGCTCCTGAGCATCAGTTTGATATCAAAGATTCTTGGCAATATGAATAAGATTTTAATTACCGTTTCATTTGTTGATGCAAGACCCGATACATGTTGATGAAGAACACTCGATGATGTGCAGCACCTCATCTAAATTGTGCGTCCTCTTCTGGAAAATCTCCTATCCAAATGATGAGTCCCTCCAGAAGTTGATGGCAAATTATTATTATTTATGTATTTTTTAAAGAAAATTGACCAAAAGCAGTAGCCTCAATTTAAAAGACTAACGTTGAATCAAACTTCTGACCCTGCTCCAAATTCCCCACTCAACACTCAGTTTCCAGAAATTACTGTAGTTTCCTGTAATTTAAAACATCAGCATACTGTTTAGGGCCTCTATCCCATTGCTCAAGTTAAGCATCCCACAATGCATTGCTAATTACAGTAGTAAACTGTTTAACATGAAAACAGTATTTTAGTGTTGGAAATTGGCTGTAAATTTACAGCAATTGCTTACAGTGCACGTGGAGAAAGGCTGCAAGTCTTGATACTTCACCTTGCAAAGTAGTCTCTGAGATATACAGTATTATGGTCATTTTGTACTATGGGGTGTAAAATCTTTAGTGCATGCTTAAGTCACGCTGGATAAAATGTGCCTGTTAAAATGCCAAAAGGTAAAATTTACATCTTGTGCAGCATCTGCCTGGTGAAAAGCCTGGTTTTTTGGATTTGGTGTGTTTTTGTGATGTGATAATCACACACATCTGTCTTGCTTTAACTCTAAATTAAGCATTGTAACTGAACTAAGCTACTGGACTATCAGCTTGTATGAGCAGAAATTTGAAAACATACTGTACCACCTTCATGAAAAAGCATCTACTCCCTCTAGACACTAGTCTAGCTAAACACACGATTTGAGCTTCCTCTGATGTTTTGCCCAAATCCTCCTTTACAGAATGTGCCGCTTATTATTCATGCATTGAAAGATATTTGCACAAGGGACCTGCAAGCACAATGCTACACCACTGGCAAGTGAACGGGTTTGGAGACTGTCAGTCAGATGGGGTTTCTCCCCAGCCTGTTCACTTCCCTGACCTCATAATTATGCATTCTGAAAGATGTCCTCAACTTCACTGCTAAATAAAAAAAAACATTATACTGTTCCAGTCCAGTGGTCTCAAAGATGAACCGAGGGGGAGTCTGAACCGC